CCTGGAGAAGGATGTCATGCTTGGTAGGGTGGAGGGTCGATGAAAGAGGGGGAGGCCTTCAATGAGATGGATTGATACGGTGGCTGCAATGATGAACTCAAGTATAGCAGGGATTCTGGGGCTGGAGCGGGATAGGGCAGTGTTTCGTTCTGCTGTGCATGGGGTCGCTATGAGTTGGAAACGACTCGACGGCACTTAACAACAATATCAGGAAGGAATACACAGAGTCACTGTACCAAAAAGAACTGGTTGACCTTCATCCATTTTAGGATGTGGCTTATGTTCAAGAAGCAATGGTATTGAAGAAAGAAGTTGAAGCTGCACTGAGGGAATTGGTGAAGATCAAGGCTCCAGGAATTGATGGAATACCCATTGAGATGTTTCAACAAACAGATGCCACACTGGACGTGCTCACTTGGTTATGCCAAGAGATTTAGAAGACAGCTCCCTGGCCCACTGACTGGAAGAGATCCATATTTGTACCCATTCCAAAGAAAGGTGATCCTACAGAATGTGGAAATTATTGAACAACATCAGTAATAACGCACACAAGTAAAATCTTACTGAAGATAATTCAAAAACAGTTGCAGCAGTATATTGACAGAGAACTTCCAGAGGTGCAAGCTGTATTCAGAAGAGTACATGGAACAAAGGACATCATTGCTGATGTCAGATGGATCTTAGCTGAAAGCAAAGAATACCAGAAAGATATTTACTTGTATTTTATTGACTATGCCAAAGCATTTGATTGTGTGGATCATAACAAACTGTGGATGACATTGAGAAGAATGGGAATTCCAGAACACTTAATTGCACTTACGAGGAAGCTGGACATAGACCAGGAGGCAGTTGCTCAAGCAGAACAAGGGGACACTGCATGGTTTAAAATCAAGGAGGAAGTGCATCAGCGTTGTATCCTGTTACCATACTTATTCAATCTATATGCTGAGCAAATAATCTGAGAAGCTGGACTATATGAAGAAGAATGTGGCATCAAGACTGGAGGAAGAA